TGATACATGCAGTACCTTGAATGACTTTCAAAGGCATAATACTAAGTGGAAGAAGACATTATCAAAAGGTCAAATATCATATGATTCCATTTATAAGACATTCTCCAAAGAAAAAAGAACTATACAGATGGGGAACCTATCAGTAGCTACCTCAGGTTATTAGTGGGAGGTAGAAAGGTGTGACTACTAGAATGTGAGAACTGTTCTGATGTGATTGTGGGAGAGAGCACACAAATCCATATGTGTGCTAAAATTCATGCAGTTGTACAAAAGTTCCATTTTGTTTTAGGATTTAAAAATCTAAATGCCTCCGGATCTTTGAAAATAAAAAAAAAGAGAGAGACAAGATCCAAAGTAGGGACTATAGGGAATTCAGGGCTCTGAACTCTGCCTGGAGAGTTGCCAGCTACAAAATGAGGGGCAAATTGCCCATAAGAGTGTAAAGGCTGGGACAGTGTACAGAGTTCATACTCAGGGTTCAATGATGAAATGATAGAAACTAGGTCTGATTATGGTAAATGGGAAAGACGGGCATTCCCATAATAGATAATGACTTGTGATAAGACATAATGACTTGTGATGTCACTACTGAACATTTCTAAAATTCACAAAAAAGGGATTCACATGCCACTCTCTTAGAAGGTAAGTAGATATAGGCCCCTGTTCCTCCCCTATCACATATGTATCAATATAATTTCAGAATTCATCTTTTAATGAAATATCTTCCAACTATGCCTAATTAAATTTTCAGGTTTGATCCCCAGTTGTCACAGATAGAATTGTAGCCTGGTGAGGCTGAAAGTAATATTTTCTATCTACCATCCTTTCCACCAATATCACTGAGAGTTCTGATATCAGTAAGACTAGTTTGTGTTGCATGAAATACTAATTTTAGAGGATCACTGTGCACAAGATAACTTCATTAGACTCTGAAAATTTACTTTTATTGCCTACATTTAGTAGCTATTGGGCTGGTAGTGCCATAATTGTGTGTTGTAATAACTGTTTGATGTGTGGAACCCATAAAGTTTAGAGTTGAATTAACTCAATCTCAGTGTTCCTGAGAGTAGAAGAGAGAATTAGCTAAGACAACCCTGTCTCTCCCCAGGTTTCTGAGGCTTGATGAAACTAATCAGATTACATACTCAGGGAGGAAAGATTTTGGACTGCTTTTTCTTTATGTTTTAACTGATAAAAGGAGAAAAGAATTTTATTTATATACATTGACTTTTCTCCAGAAAATTAATAGTGGGAAGGAATTCATATTATTAAATTTTGAACAGTCTTATACTTTTAATAGTGTATTATTTGGAGGATTTTTATGCTGGTATTTGGGTTCCTGGTCTAATCCAGCAAGCTCTAATAGACAATATGAAATAACATAGCATAAGATAAAAAAAAGAAAGTGATTTTTCAGTGGGGTTAGTGGTGGCTTTGGAGTTAATGTATTTAAGTTCTGACCCACTTCAGGGCTTTGTAAAATCATCTTAAGCATTATAAAAATTATTTTGCAAATTTATTAGGTTTCATATATTGTTCATTTAACAGCAGTAGACCCTCATTTAGTTTTTCTAAAATGAGATAGTACTAAATCAGTAGCTAGAAATCAAATTCTGAAAGCAGTAGAGGTTGCATCATTGTTCATAAGCATCACTCCAAATCAGTCATTTGGCAACAGGATTTATCTGCACTTAAGCAAAAGAGGCCGTCCAAACTCAGTCTCTCCCCAAATTACTACTTAGTATTTCTTGTCACAATATTTAATTACCATTTACTCCTTTATTTGCTCTCTGGTCACCAACAGCAGAAGCTACCTTTACATCATCAAAAGTCTTCTTTTCCTTCTTCCGGGAAGCTTAAAGAAATGTAATAAAACATTTATTTGTAATTGTGATGACAGAATTAGACTATCTTTTATGACAAAAACAGATTTTTCATGCCCAAGAGGAAGTGAGCCATATGCTAATTCACACGGAGGATTGTAGGGAGGTACTGAAGATGGAGAGGAGTGAAATAGGAGGAAAGAAAATTACTCTTGAAATACTATCCTTTCGATTTAACTTATATACTCAGAGGGACAGAATTTTCTTTGGAGGAACAGAATTTTCTTCCTGAAGAGAGAAAAGTTCATACCCAGCTCAACTGTAACATGCCATTTCCTCTGTATGGGGATACACAGCTACTGGCTGGAGATCCACTAGCTCACAGTGACTACTGCAATTCTTGGATGTGCCTCAGACGGGTACAAGCAACCACATACACAATCCCTTTTTTGTAACAGAGGTAATCACAGTTCTTGTTTCTAACCATCTAGGGGGGCAGTGGGTCCTCACAGCATGTATGCTCAATGGGCTTTCATGAGAGAGATAAAATGTGAGTCATCTGTTTCCCCACTGCAGCAGATTCATTTAACATTCCCTCTCTCTCTCTCTCTGTCTCTCTCTGTTCCTCTGAAGTCATCTATAGAGTTATAATTAAATTTCATCTGTTGCCTTGATAATATAAACTAATTTATATCCCTACTCTGAAAGAGGTGATTTGTGGTAACAAATGTTTAAAATGTCTACTTGAAACTCTTTTTCTATCAAATGATGATCAGTTGAAGATGCAGGGATGTATATACTTACTAAAGTGATTTCTGGAGAATGAAACTGCTGCCATTACCTCAATGAGCTGAATAGACTGAATTAGTCAATTTGGCAAACAATTATTTTATATATCTATGCATGTGCACACACACACACACTCACACAGTACAAGGTACTCTGTGAAATATAAAGGTGGGAGTTACATATTATGGGTGATTAAGAGAGTGGGAAGTATTCCATAAGTATGTTAGTAAGGATACAAAGTACTATTAGGGATTCAAAGAAGAGGGATCTTTCTATTAGGGTTATTGAAAGACTAGGGAATGGTATTTACAGTAGAGTTTAAAGATTTGTGGGATTTGGATAAATGAACAGTGAGCACATCATTCCAGGATGAGTAAATTGGATGAAGAGAGGCAAAGAAATGTTAAAGGTAACTTGTGCTTTAGAAATGGTCAGTAGTCTAATTTGATTGGACAATGAAGTAAATTGAGTGCTCACTACGAGCTAGAACTTTTGGGCTCTTTAGGAATTATTTAGGAGTATTATCTTTGTTTTCAGATGGTAAAACTGTGCTTCAAAAAGTTAAGTGATTTGTCAAAGCTATTCATATTGCTAAAAAACGGTAAAGCAGGACTTGGACTTCAGCTATGCACATCACCACTAGATGATGTCTTCTTCAAAGAGAAAGTACAATGTGAAGCTAAAGTTAGGTTTGACTTGGACTGTACATGGTGATGAATGGTTGCCTAAGAAGTCTGAGCTTCATTTAAGAGGTAATGAGGATCTTTAAGCTTTGAGGCCAGGAGAAAAGACCATCAGAGCAGAGTTTTAAGTTTAATTAGGTAGTAGTATAAAAAAAGGGAAGGGTTTGAAGTAGGTAAAAATAAGAGCCAGTGAAGACTAGTTAGTAATCTATTGGAGTGACATAGGGAGAATGTCACCTAGAACAGGACTGCCAGAACAGATAAAAGATTGGTGGGATGCTTTGATGATCCCACCATGGAAGTTCTTTACTGGTACTACACAGTCACAGATACTTAAGACAAATCTACAGTTTTGCATTCTGGCAATGAAATTTTAATTAATATCATTAATTAATTTACTTTAATCCCACTATATCTTGCAGGGTTACAAATTAAAGGAAGCTGGTAGAGACTGGGAATAAAGTCATGACTTGTTCCTCGTTTAAACTCTTTTCTTTTTCTCTTTCCCTCCTTCTCTACTGCCTCCCTTCCATTATTCCTGTGCTTTTTTCTAGTACTGTCTATTTTTTCTTTCTGGCAGTATAGTAGAATACCATGTTAGTATATAATAGCAATTATATTACACACAAGTTTTTAAAGTTTCAGAAGCAAAAAATACATTATTTTTAATATAGGGAACTTAGAACTGTGTACTGTAGCTTGTGTACTGACCCAATTGATAAGATTTTAGGCTGTTTTAATTTTTTATATATATCTACTTTTCAACTTCAACTGTAATAGGGAAATGCCCAGAAGTGTGCCTGACACAAGGCAGGCAGCAACTGTTTGAAACAGACTTTTGCAAAAGGATTTTTTTACACGAATAAGTAGGTAAGTACTTTCTATGTGGCTACATGAACTCTTAATGTTCTCACACTTACAATGTGTTCCATCTTGTCCTCTGTAAACAAATGTATTTTTTTTAATCTCTTTTCTTTTAAATACATTTTCTTGTATTTTTGGTAAATGAGAAGCCATTTCTTTCTCTGGAAGGGCTTGATTCTAAAATATTTTAAAAAATAGATTGGTTAATATCAACTTGCCTTTTAGAAATGCAAAACATTATTTAAAAAATGTGACAGTATACTGGAAATTAATAGTAATTCTTGTCTTGTGACTCATAAGATTATGTTGAGAATAAATTTGGGAGGATAGTAAGGGGTAAATTTCCACCTGTGGACAAACATGAAAAATATATTTACACTCAGATGTATTTAATCTCACTGTACATTAGAGAACTAGTCCAGTTTCAGATCTAATAGGGTCTTAACCCATAGCTACCCTGGTAAGTTTAAGCAATTTCTAAATCATCTTCAATTGAAGGATTCCTGAGTGACTTAACTAGAAGTCACTCAAGCCTACCATAAGTAAACTCAATACATGAAATATGACTTCCTTTGGTGAATCTACAGCCTAATACTGACTGTGGATTACTAGAAAGGAGATAACTTCACAAAGAAAGAACCTCAGAGGCCCTCAGAGGGTTCCCTGAAGTATTCAGCAAGAAAATGGATCAGTACATGTCTGTGAGGAAAACTACACAAGGCCACAGAAGGGACCATCCTATCCTAAAGGACTGGTGCAGCTGTCACCTACATACCATCCTATTCTGACTAGCCACTGTGGAAAAATATCATAAGTCACAGGGTATTTTGACAAAATACAACCGATACAGTACAAAATATCGGTCTTGCCTCAGTAGCGGGGAGTAACTTATGTAAATATCATAAAAATATTTATTATAAAAAAGTAAAAGAAAATATACACATGGCTGTGGCTCTAACAAATCTTAAAAAAGCAAGACCTATTACAAACTGTTTCCAAATAATCTACATTCAAAAAAAAGAAAACTTAAAGAATATGAAAATATTTAGTGCCCACAAACTAAAATTCATGACATCTGGCATCCAATCAAAGAGTGCCAAACATACTAAGAAAATATGAGCCATAAAATGAGCAAATCAATCAAAATTGACCCAGAAATGAAACACATTAGAATTAAAGATTAAAACATAACTGTATTCTATATATTTATAAGGTGAAAAAGAGACATGGATCATATAAAAGTTACCAAAATCAATTGTTTTAAAGGTGTGAGATGAGAAATGCAGTGTAGTACATTAATACCAATGTATTAATGGTAGAGTAGACATTACAGGAGATTAATGTGTATTCAAAAAAGAAGCTATTCAAATGGGAAGACTAGGAGAAAAAAACTACAAAATGAAAATATCATTTTGTGTGGGACATCAAGCAGCTTAATATGTCTCTAGGGAGGAGAGAGGGGACAAAATAAATATTTCATAGTAATATTCACTATCACTGCTTCTATTTTACATTAAATTGGAGGTTCTCGTCAGTGCAATCAGGCAAGAAAAAGAAAAAGGCATCTATATTCGAAGAGAAGAAATAAAACTATATTCATAGACAACATGATCATTTATGTAGAATTTCAATTGGCATCTAGAAATAAACTAAAAATGATTTTATCAATGCAAGATAAAAGAAAATATGTTTTTCTATATATTAACATCAAATAATCAGAATTTGAGATTAAAAATACAAATTATAATAGCATAAAAATTATGAAATACCTAGCGATGTGTAAGACCTGTACACTGCACCCTACATAATGCTGGTAAGAAAAATAAAGGAAATCTAAATAAACAGAGAGGGAAATTTGGTTCATGAGTTGGAAGACTCAACATTATCAAGAAATCACATGTGTCCAAGATGACTAATAGAGTCAACACAATTCCAATCAAAGTCTCAGCAAATTTCTTGGTAGAAAATGACAAGCTGATTCTAAAATTTATATGGAAATATAAATGGCTTAGATTGGTCAAAACAACATCAAACTAAAAGAAAAACTTGGAAGGCTAGCACCGATTTAAAGAATTAAAGGTACAATAATCAAAAGAGTATAATAGACAAATAAGTCAAAGAGCAGAAAAAAGTCCAAAATTAGTGATACAATTGATTTTTGACAAAGATGCAAAGGCAAAATCTTTTAATGATTTCGAGAACTCTAAGCATACAGTTTGCAGAAAATTATATATAATGTCAAATCTAAAAAAGATTAAAATATTAAGAAACACAAAAATGAACTGAAAATGCCACATACTAAACCATGATTCAAAAAAGATAATTCAGAGTAACTCTACTGAAAATATCAATAATTCAAATAGCTCTCCCATTAACATGGTTCAAGCAGCCTCTGGTGTTACCATGCCTACCATCAGTGGTCATGTCTAGTGGGCACTCCCACTGCCAGAATTGGTTTCATTGCACTAGTTACCACTAAATAATGGGCTAGAACTCCTTGAACTGTAATTGGCATCAGGCAAAAACTAAAGGGAACCTGGGCATTTTTTTGGTCTCTAAAAACAATAATATTTTCAGAGATTTCTGGAAGTAAAAGAAAGGCCAACTTGGAGGGATTGTCTACTGAAAAAAAAGTTGTGTAATATTGAGCATTAGAACATAATAATTATAGTAAAGTGGAATAAGCTAATCTTGCCATATGAACAGTGAGTCCCTGACAATACTAAAAGATACCTGTTAACCCAAAGTAGAATAAAAAATTATCATACATATTTCAATTTCTAGTATTTGAAACATTTCTGTAAACCTGCTTAACCAGGCTATGTAAATCTTACACTTACATCTAGGTGTGTCAACAATAAACTACTTGTTTTGCAAGCATTTTCTATCAAAAAAAAGTATTTATTATATATAAATAAGTTTTTCATTTCCCAGAAGTATAACTGTTGTTTGATATGCCCTTTTATATTTAGTTTAGTAAAATTCCTGTACTTTGTTAATAGTCAATTGTGTTTAACTGCACTTTAATCTAATCTGAATCAATTTCAGACATGAACAACTGACCCGAAATAAAGATTTCTCTCTCTTATAATAAAAGATAAATATTTCATCTTATTTTGCTACCCATTCAGAAGAAATTAAAGGAAAACATGGAAGAAATGTTTTGGAAAGATGGAGGAAAAACTCTAGGCACAGAAAAGGGAAATGGGGGAAAATAGAGAATACTTAAACATCATTCTCATTTCTATCCAACTCTCTTAACTTTAGAACACCAATTTGTAAAAGTACATATACATACATTTGACATTTTTATCCAACTCTGTAAACTCTAAAATCTGAATTCACTCATGCACATGAGTATGCATGTGCATACACACACACAAAAACACACACACTCTCATACACAGTCTCACACAACCTGAGTCAAACAACTGAAAGGCTACATCCATTCACTCTGCACCAAATCATTCCACTTCATCTTGAAGAACATTTTTTACTGGTGATAAACACAGCTGCATGTGTGGGTACGCATACACACAGTGTGTATGTTCTTTCAGTCACTGTAGGACATTGTAACTACCCATACTGTTTCTGTTGCTCAAGCTGGTTTGGCTTCCAGCTTACGAATCTTGCTACCACAATAGACTATTCCTATTGGCATCAGCTCAGGCAGAAGAGACATATGTGAGTAGCAATTTAATTCATCAACCATGCTAGCAACCATTAGCATATTAATCACTTTCCCTTTCTTGGCCCAATAGAGCAACCTCAAAATATTATTTATCCCTGCTCTAAATTTTCATTTGGAAAAGTTAGTTTGTCAAAACTAAAGGTAAAAATATTATAAGAAAGTACTTGGCATACAAACAAACCTTTCTTTCAAACCCTATGTAAAGAAATCAGATTTAAGTGTTTAACTTACCTGTTCTTTTATACAGTTTTTTTCAAAATCTAATTTTAAGCTTCTCAAATATTCTCTATATTTATTAAACTCTTTCAAGGAACATACAACCTAAAACAACAAAAAAAATATATATAAATACACATATTTAAAAATCCTAACAATTACTTTCCAGAGTAATAATAGTAATAGCATACCATTTTGGTGACATTTGGGTATCAAGAACATAAATTGCTAAAAATTTTTTAAGTGATATCTCTCTGCAATTGTTAATCAATAGGCAATCTTTATCCAAACAACATTATTAATAATACTTGTGTCACAAAAAGGAATTTAGTACACCCAACTGGAGTTACAAAAATACCAATATAATAGTAATGTTCAAACCCAATAAGAATATAGTCTGTGAGGATTCTACCAAGCTGATTTTGCTAGGTTCCCATTCTATCTCAATTTTTCAAGAAGTGTAGGGGACATAATCCTTGACAAGCATATGACATCAGAGACAGAAAGAGGCCTATGATATAGTTGGGAAAATTAACTTGACATCCTCGAATTATTTGGCCACCATCTTTTGACATTACAAAGAAAAAAGGTGAAGGGGAAAAGTTTAATTTAGAAACTGTTTATCTGATTTCCCTTGACCCATGTACCAAGCAATTAATGGAATTTCCCATTAACCATTTCTCCTGACCAAGCTAAAGGTGATATCCCTTCTATACCCAGAAATATATGGAGGCTTTAAATGATTAAAGAGAGGTAATCTTCAACCCACTTCATTATTGTTGGTGATGTATCCACCTTTCTTTAACCTTCCCAGGATATCCTTGCGTTGATGGTATGCTCTTAAATGTGGATCATGGAGACTATTATACTGATTTTCCAAAATTCGACAATAAGGATCCGTCAGATTAAAACCGTAAGAAGGTTGAAAGAGCTGCAAACACAAATTTTGAAATATTGTAAATGTAAAATTAGTTATGTAATTATTGTTATAAATGTAAAAACAGAATTTCACTTTTAAATATCAACCCATTGAAATGACTATACTGTTCACTGAAACTAAAGCACGCAAGAAGAATTTGAAGGAAAAACAAGCAACAGAAAAATTTGGATTAATGAACACTAATTGTTTATCCCTACCTCTTTTCCCACTGACCAGAACTAGTCTAAAAGTCCACCCTCACTCAATGAATTCCTCCTCTAAACTCCATCAGTCAGTCCCTGGCCCTGAGACAGAGAAGAAAGGAGGAAAGGAAAAGAAACGGAATAGGAAAAAGTTTGCTTTAATGTAAAAGCTAATGTTAAGATTCATCTTTTTCCTCTTCCCTCTTCCAGGTCAAACTGTTATATTCAGTGGATAAAAGGATAATATTAATTATGATTATTTTATCTCAGTAATCTGAAAAAGGAAGAAAAATGGAAAAGTCTTTCACCAGGATTCACTGAAGCAATTTCAACAAAAATTAGAAGTAAAACTCAAGATGCTAAAGGTAGTGGATTAAAGAGTTATTTTTACTTGGGGTCTTAGCTGATGCAAGAAACCCAGTGTTCTCTGACTGCCACAGTCAGGAAAAATTTCAAGGCCTTTATTATAAAGTTCAATATATTGAAGAGCCAATTATAAAGGATACTGATAAGGACTGAGGTTTCTCCATATGTGTATGAACCAAATACAACCTTATATAATAGCCATTAAAATATAAAAGGTGGAAAATTTAAGCTACAGTCATGTTTCTATATCTATTACTTTAGGGGGAAAAGCTGAGTTACTTAATTTCATTTGTGACTTAAAACATTACCAAAGTGAACAAAAGGGATTTTTGTTTGTTTTGTATTTGGTGTGAGTTCTTAGTCCATTTTTTAAATTGCAGCATGGCAATGGAAGAACCTCTG